AATAAAAAAATAATAAAAAATAATTAAAGGCTTTTAATCCTACCTTTTTATTTTTTTAAATTGAGCATATTAAAATTTTCCCCCCTTCTATTTTCCTTGTACAGTAACACAAAAAAGCAAAAAACTGTATATGTTTCATATGATTTGAAACCCACTTTTCATCTCATGTTACTTGTTCTACTTTTCGAGACTCAGAGTCCAACTTTATCACGTTCAGGGGGCTCTTACTCGGCTCTAGATAATTAAAATAAGTAGCCTAGATGGAGAAGAAGTTGGTTCATTGTACACTCTATATATAAACTTGGATTAGCCAGAATCAGTGGAAACCATCACCTGAGAAAAATGTGAAAACCAGAAAGAAAAGAAAAGAAAGTTGATGGTGGGGTTGCCCTTTTGGCAAGTATGTAGCTAAAGATCACGAAGAAAAGCTTAAAAGATTTGACAACAATGAGAACAAGTTCACACGTTCAATTTTTGACTTGGATTCTATCTTTGTCGCTTTCTCAGGCGAAACAAGACAATACTTACCAATCACAACACAAGTTGCAGCTCCCCCTCAAGATTCTCAAATCTCTACAGTCACCATATACACATATATTTATATAAAATATCCCCCCCCCACCATCCTTCGTTCATATATCTATATATGGTTTTCATGTGAAGTTGCAAGGCTTATGATAATTGTAACACTCCATTTCAAATTTGTCTACATACCTAACATAAATTTTGAAGTGGACCTCATAAATTTGTATCTGTCACTATTCACAAACCATCTCTATCAACATTTAACAAGCAAGATTATCAGTGTTTTTCCTCCATATACACAGTTTATGAACCAACCAAAGAAGTTGGTAGGCATCAATTGCCTGGTCTATATTCTTCACCAAATCTACCTAGTAGTTCCTTCACATATAATTTCTTTACTTTTGTTTAGGTTTGGTTTGCGTGCTATCAGCCAATAAACTGAGATATTGTGGAAAACAAGAACTGATTAATGGAATAGATTGGTAGAAGTATTTTTTTCCAGGCCTATACCAAAGCCATGGCTTTGGCCTTTGGGTTTAAAATCTCTTCTGGATTTCGAATGAGTATTTGACCATTCGCTGCTTCTAAACTTGTGATTTGGACCAAAAAGTGCTATTTGAAAGTTATCTCAAATATCCATTTGGTAAGAAAAGATCTATTCTTTACCGAGAGATTAATTTCCTCATATGGTACTTTTTATTCATATCTCGGAAAAAAAAAGTGGAACTTTTCTGTGATATGCTCCTCTAATCCTATATAAACAACAGAGAGAAAAGATATTTTTTTAGTCTTATTTATAGGGTATTAAGAGAAATTTTTTGTATGGATGTATAATTTTACCCCTTATTTATTATTATATTGACTTTATTTATATGAGGTATAATATATATTAAATAGGAATAAAGTTGAAAAGTTGTTGAATTTTAAAAGAGAGTTAATGAAATTTAAAATTTTCCTTAACTTGTATAAAATATGCTGAAAGTGACTTATAAATAGGATAAGAAGAGTAATTTGTCAATGTACTCCTCCGGTCCTAATTATAAGACCCAATTGACTTATTTGAGGAGATTAAGGAAGTAAGTTAAGTTGGTTATTTATAATAAATAAGTGTTGTCATTCCTAAAATATTCTTGCTAATTAAGTATATTGGCTAAAACTATCATTATTAGAAGGATTATCTTGGAAAAAAATGCATAAATATAAGAGACAAAATGGATTGGGGTCTTATAATTAGGACCAAATAAAAAGTCAAATGGGGTCTTATAATAAGGACCGGAGGAGTATGACGTTAATGGGTATGAAATTAAGTGTGTCATTTGATTCATTAGGATTGGGTGGATTATACTTTTTGTCATGATATGCACCTTTGAACCTATCTTGACTCTACCGGCATTATTAAACCTAATTCAAGATTAAATTAATAATCCCAAGGATTAAAATATTGAAACATTTGAAGAATGAGAGAGAGAGGAAAACCGAGTAACTAAAATAGTTTGAGGTTTGTTTTGTGGGATGAGAACTACAAGGTGCCAAATGTCCACAAGTTTCGCCGCATGCTTTAATTTTTGAGGAGCTTAATTGGATTTGGTATTAATTAGCTGATGAATGATGATAATGATGGAAGATTAGAAAAAATAATAATAATAAATGAATAGTGTTGAGGTGTTGCCACATGTTAACTTAAATCAGTGGAGGGGTGTTCACCACAGTAAAGGTTAACACCAATTTTGATCTGCCTAACCCAACCTTCCACTTTAATCTTTCTCACGGATCCTTTTCAGTAAGATATGCGGCAAAATTAAAGAAAGCAAATATATATCTCTGCTTACGTGGCTCATATGTATCTCTTTTTTTGATTCTGTGTTCATCCCATGATACTTATTACTATTATAAAATCTGCATTTAAAATTAAAAATTTTAATTTGCAATTTTTTTATAACAAATTTATTTCTTTAAAAAATTTTAGTTGTAAGATTTTCTTTATTTTAAATTTTGTGCCTGTTAAAATAAAAATGATTTAGGGAAAATTAATCTTTTGGTCTCTATAATTTTCATTCATTTATAACTCAATCCCTATACTTTGACTCGGTGCAACTCAATCTTTTTAGTTTTGACTTGGTTGTAACTCAGGCCTTGAAGTTTGATTTGCTGCAACTCGGTCCCTATAGTTTTGTTTATTTTATAATTTAGTCCTTGTGTTTTTGAAAAATAAAATTATATATCTAATAAAATGAGGGACTAAATTATAAAATGGTTAAAACTATAAGAACTGAGTTCTAGCGAGTCAAGCCTCAAGGACTGAGTTACAACCGAGTCAAAATATATGGACTGAGTTACAAGTGAGTGAAAACTATAGGGACTAAAAGATTAATTTTCCCAATGATTTAAAACAAAAAAATATTTAAATTGAATGTAGTTAGATCATCCAGAAACAATTTGAATGGTCCAAATTAAAATGAGCACTTTATCCTTCTTCTTCTTTTTTTTCCCCATATAAACATGGAATGTATTACCTCCTTGCTCTTATTTTTAAAGATAAATTATAGATAGAGATATATATTAGTTTAAAGTTCACTGTAATTTGACACACGATTAAAAGAGTTTCTCACTTGTTTTTCAATAAGATCTCAAAGTTTAATATAACTCGACCCATACTTACAACTAAAGAAAACGTTTAATAAAATCATTTTATGAGATCTTTTAGTTAACAACTTATCTAAGAATTTAGTTATTGATAGAATGATCCATGTAGCTAACTTTATCTAGTGAGATAAGATTTAGTGTTTTTGTTACACACAGAACTAACCCAACTCAATTCAAATTAATCATGGATGAGTGCGAGATTTAGAAATGAGTTGGTATGAAAAAATGATTTTTTTTTATTGTAGTCAATTATATGATATACTAATAATTTTCCATAATTACATGAATATCTTTAGATAAAAGATGCTCAATGAATGTGGTGCTCTTCTCTTCAGACCAAGAACTCTTTCAATATATGAAAGAGGTGAGCTATATGTTCTGCATTTCATGTGCATTCTATGAGGATATAATTACACAAACAGTTACTCTTCTAGTCACTAAGGATATAATTAAAAAATTAATTTTGATCCTAAATGTAAGACTCATCTATCTCTATATTTATTATCTTTCTTAAACTACTCCTATTGATAGTAGCTCAACGATAATTAAATACATCAATAACTTAATAATGTACCCCAGATATCCTATAAAATGATTGTTATTGTAAAAAAATGCATTAATGTCAGGCTCAGGAAAATTCCCCTGTTATTGTAAATAAATAATTTTAAACATGCAGGTACCCATTCAAAATAATTAGATGTTTTTCTGAAAATTTTTTTAATAAAATATTGATCTCATTATTTTTTCTTTCATAACTAAAAAAACATGTTATATTTATTATAATTAATTAACTTAACTATCTTCTTTAATTTAATCAAATTAGCCAAACAGTTCTTAAATTAAGAAAAAATAGTATATATGAAACAAAGGATGAGTGCAAATAAGTAATGAAATTGATGTTTGTAAACTTAATGGAACACATAATTTTGATCCTAATACGGGGTAGCAGAACAGAAAGAATTGAATTCCACAAAAAAGTGAAATTGGTGGGAAATATATAGGAGAACTGATTCCAGTGTTGGGGATAGGACTGGACCAAATAATGAGTAAATGACCCATGAAGAAGCCCAAGGGTCAAAAATGGAATGCAGGGCGGAGGATCTGTGAAGAAGCCACAAAAAGGCACAATTTTAAAATGGTTAAGTGGTCGAGCCATCTGGCTCATGTTCATGGGTACAAGTGGCTCTCACAACGCATTAGAGTGTGAGAGACACAGTTGGAACTACGCGGGAATCAAACAGACATTGTCTTCACCTGAAGACAAGTATTGCTCAGAATCTATTGTGCGTGCGTGCCAGCCAGCTTTCCAAGATTTGGCCTCTTATTATACTTACAAGCTTCTCAAAAGTTTTTGAGCCTTATTGCTGCCCCACCATCCTAAAGGCAAGGGAAGAAAAGTGAAATGAAAAAAACAAAAAAATATTTTGCCTGAAGAATATTAGGTTTTGAAATTTGAATGTCTCTGTTTTTCTTCAGTCCAAAAGGTTCTCTGTTTCCCCTAAGTGCTAATTTCAGTCAAACAGCGAACACGTATAAGATCAATTTGATGTATTTTTCACAGACTACTTAATATTTAAAAAATAAAATACTATTGATAATTTTTTAATAGTACAGATTATTATATATTCTACATTTTGTATGCATGACTTTGACTCTTTTTTTTTTCAAAAAATAATTGTACATTCAAAGGTGAGATAAGAATTCAGTTTGATATGATTCATATTTTTTTTTTTTTTTTTTTGGCCGAAATGATATGATTCATATTAAATCCACTCTTTTCATAATAAAAAGATGATGTGAAAAACTCAACTTTACGAAGCAAAAACAGAATATTGGAATACCAAAACCAAAACTCAATTTATAAACTGACTAAACAAATAAAACCATTCCAAATATACAGTCTATACAACACAAAAAGACAATACAACCAAAACAAAGTCAAAATCCAACAAGGCCGGACCAATTTAAAACCCCAAAAAAAAAAATTCTCGAGGATTCCCGATTGCAAAACAGCAACCCAGGGACTTTCACTTGAATTAGTTTACATTCCTCAGGTTGTCAGAAAGAGCTTGACAGATGAGGATATCTTCGGTTCGTGTCAGTTCAAGTCACAGCAATGGCCCCTCTGAGGAGGTAGTAGTAAGAAGAACCCTGGGTTGATACCATTTCGCCACTCTGAAAATCCATAATAAATAACAATCATACCTAATCACGGTTGGTACTTAGTTATCAGAGGACACCAGAACATTGTACTCCTTCAAGTGTCTTTGAAATTGAGCCAACTGGGTCTGCAGTTGAAGAATTCCAGCAGCTTTCCGTGACAAAATTGAATTTAATTTGACAATATAACCATCGAGCTGATTTCCGGGTTCATCAGCCTCAACGAGCAGATTCATCTCCTGCATGTACAGTCATCACGTTAAAGAAAAAAAAAACCAGTGCAGCAGATTTAAACAACGAACAAGAGATTGTCCTTACCTCTCTAACAAGGTCCATTGTGTCCTCCACTTGTCTCCTATGAGCTGCTACAAGATCTTCCTCTTTCTATTCAGTTAATAAACCAAACAAAGAGGTCATCACCCAGCAATTTAACTATGAAAAACATTTCGTCAAAGCATGCCCAGAATATAATTACCTTTAACAGGGCATTTAGGTCATCATCAGGAGTATTCTTATGATTAGCCTTAGGCTGATCCATACGTTTCACATGAGAGTCTATCTTCTTGTACTCCACAGAAGCTAATCGGGTGGTGTCTGCCTTCTTACTCGTCTTTCTCGTTCTGTCTTGTTCATATGTTGGCTTAAGGTAATCAACGTCATTTTCAGCTTCGTCGTTTTGACCACCTCTTTGGCCCCTTTGTGAGTCTGAATACACAGATGCAGCGAAATTTCCCCCCATCCTTCCACTAGGAACCCGATCCATGTTAATTGGAGGAGAGGGCTCTCTTTCAAGTTGTTTGGACCAACCAAAACGATTCTTGTCATTAGAAATGTAATTTATTTCATCTTCAAAGGTATCCTCACGAGATATAACTGACGACGAAGGCAATGTTGTCGAGTCCCTCAGGTTTGAAGATGAAGGAACGGATTCCTTTTTGGAGGTATTTCCTTTTGACAAACTCTTCACCCTACAGTGCGATTGTCACTTAGAATTGCTCATGACATTATCAGATGCATCACTTGCATACATATTAACTACTCAAATAACGTACCTGTCAGCATATCTTAAAGTGTTCAGAGTATGCTCACATGAACCTGAGCTCGGTGAAATGCATGATATCATTACAGTGCGTGAGTCACCAACAAAAGAATCTCTTAAGACTTCTGTCAATTTACTTCCTCTGAAAGGAATATGTCCCTGGTCATTGTCAAGAGCTCTAATGCATTCCTTCAAAGCAAGTAAGCTTTTATTAATTTCTGCACCTTCAATCCTGAAATAAAGTCAAGACCTTATTCATCAATTTTAGGCAGGCACTTTGTCATAGTTATTTCTGAAGACTGAGAAAAGATATAGAAAACAATGGAAAATCTACACATAAGCTCTGAAGAGGGGTAATGATGCGGAAATGCTTAAATTTGAAAATGACAGCCGCACCTTGTCTGTTTATCATTATCTGTAGTATCCGCACCACGCTCACTTCCAGCAAGATCAATAAAAGATAGCTTGCCAACAAGTCGAGCAGGCTTGGATTCTGTACCATCAACTGATTTCTTGATACAAAGCTGAAGTATGGCATGTGATCGAGAGGATTCCTCATTCGCGCCAGTTGTACCAGTACTTCTTGTAGCATTCCCTTTCTCTATAAATTCCTTGATTGCCCCAACATCAGATACTCTGTATTCTTGCAAGCCCACAATGCAAACCTGTTGTTTTCCATCCTCCCTCATGAAAAGCTTTCTGCAAAAACATAAACCAGTCAGCAGCTAAACCCAAAAGCAAGACTTTTTGTGGCTCACAAGTTGATATGGCTTACTTTCGATCGTTGAGGAGATCAAATACTTTTCCCCCATATATCTCAAAGAAACTAACATATAATTGGAGACCTTGGTTCCGGTACGTATAATACATCAATTTTAAAATATCTTGGGATGCTTTGAGAGGCAGTGGTTGCATGGTATAAGTCTTCCCACTTCCTGAAAAAATCAAGATTGTGTTATCCAAAATATTCAGAAAGAGTAAAGAAATGAAAATAAAACCATATTAAATTCTACACGATAGTTAGGTTATTAGTAAATTTGCATACAGGACAGAGATATACTTATCTTGCCAGCTCTGTAGTAACACTATCAATTGTTCTATTTAAGTCGTCAAGTAGTTAATTTTGATATAGATTTAAGAAATTGAAAACAAAAGTGGACGAAATATTGTGACAATAGGGAGAAGGGAGTATTGATGCAAAAGACAACGCCCCCCCCCCCAAAAAAAAAAAAAAAAGAAAAAATCAGAGTCATTAGCCAAGTAAAAGAAGAATTCCAGGAATTTCTCATAAATCAGGTGTTCAATGTACGAAACATGAATAGGTGAGTTTTAATGCAGCAATGTTCAATTTTTAATGATATATCTTCCTGCAAGGTACAAAAGTTAACAAAGATGTACCAACACTAGGTACAAAACATTCCAGCAAATTTTTCATCTGACAAAAGTTGGAAGATAAAGTGGAATTTGGAACTGATTAGCCAAAAGTTTGAGAATGAAAGAGAGCTAGAGCAAATGATTTAGTTTATAATCCCAAAACCATACTAATAATTGGTTCCCTTTTGTTTGTATGCCTTACTATATTCTACCTGCAAGCAAATGACCATGAGATATTCAAAAACCATGCGACGTTCTTATCCTCAAAATAACATGAAACAGACAAATTTTAGTTCAAATCTTAAAAATGGGATGATAATCCTTTTTGTAAGTATTTGATAGTTATTAATCAATATATGAACTCCAATTTTTCTCAATCAACTTTAAGCAGAGTACTTGCCTGTTTGGCCATATGCAAAGCAAGTGGCTTTTGTTCGTTGGAAAATAAGAGGAACAATAGGTTCCACCGTCTCAGAATACACCTGTAGAAACAATTAAACGAAAAGGGAACAAAACATAAACAAAATGATCTAGTGATACAAGGGGAATAGTCAGTCAATGAGGTAATCGGAGCAAGAGCTACTTATATACTCACTTTATCATTTGAAACATCTTCATCCAGTACAGCATCAAAAACAAATTCATGTTTCTCAACATATTCTGTTAAGTCGACCTGTAAAGTGCAGACATTAGAGAAGATTAAACTCAGGTTGTACAACCACCAATAAATTATAGTCCAGTATGTCAAATTTCTAAGGGCAAAAGGTTAACAAAGATGTACCAACACAAAACACTAAGCCAATTGTTCAGCTGACGGAAGTTGGAAGATAGGGCGGAATTCAGAACTGATTACCAAATATTTGAGAATGGAAGAAAGCTAGAACTTTTAAAAAGCATGGGTGCTGGTTTGAACCATAATGATTGAAGCATTCATCTAAGTAGGAAAAAAATGACGGTTTGATAGCTCTGATTACCATTTGCAACCTGCCTAGTTCACGTCCAAAAGGCTGTGAAGAAGTAACATATTTACATAATGCTATTAAACAAAAGTTAACTTATCAATGGAGTTTTGAATATTAAGTGGTTTTATTTATTAAAAAAAAAAAGCCAGAAGAGAATGTTGTTTTTTGTTGTTGGGTTAACTTATAAGTTGTTTAATCGTAAAATTAAAAACGTTCATCACAAGCTACAGTGGAAGACAGAGACTATCAAACAACTAGTATTTGGACCCATGCAGTGCACACTGCACAGGATGCTCAAACAATAACTTAGATGTATCAGAAGTTATCTTTCTCTATTTTAGGCACTAATAAGCCTTTCTCCTGGAATTTATAATTCTTAAGCGCAATTCTCCTTCAAGTTGGAGCAAGTCATATGAAGATCAGCATATGTTCAATGGCAAGTAAGGATGCGGCAAACACATCTGTGCAATTCTTGATTAGGTATCTTGGAGAACATATTCAAAACAGAGTTTATATTGTGAAAAGCTATGTTCTTTAAGACAGCCCACAACACAAATACTCACCTTAAGTTTCCTTTCATGAACCGTGAGAGCATTGGAATCTATGGCAATTATATCTTCCTCTTTCTTTGCTATTTCTTTCTTATTTAGTGGTCTCTTGCGAACCTGCATCAGAGGTGTTATGTCAAAATGCAGTCGGCTCCGGGAACTAAAGGCCTTTGCTTTCAGTAGTCCAGTTTATAATAAAATGATGATATGCAGTATCAGACATTAAATATCATACCACAACTTTGATCTTAGCAACATTGTTTGCTCTCTCTTTATCTGCTGAGAGACTTTTAAGATTGGTCTCAGGCAAGCCCCGAGCTTTGTTTACAGGTATGGAAGAAAACGGCTCGGAATCATCAAAACTTCTACCACGAGCAGGATGATTGGTTAAATATTCATCGTGAATACTAGACATCTATTAAGAGTCAGACAAAAAATACCAGTCAGTTGCGTGTTCTCATTTTTGTCAATCATGGTGCACAGATTTTACATTTCACCCAAACATGAAACTTTTGTCCGACGAGCTACCAATTATTCAACTAGTTCAGAGAAAGAGAATGCAATGTCAACGAAAGAATAGGGCTAACTCAGCTTAATCCATACCAAGTTCATATCATAAACCATCCATAACGACTACAACCATTGACTTCGTCTAACCAAAGCACATAAGCTAAAATCAAATCACATATATGCAAGTCAATGATACAGACCTCAGGTAAAAGCTCAGTATTGAAGGAATGCAGATCAAGAAGGCCATGGGTAAGCCCACCGAGAAAGACTTGATCGTCATCGTTCTTCCTTAAGCTGGAAGACCGATACCCACCAAACCCCTGAAGTCCTCCCACATAGGAACCAAACTCCTGCACGCCCCCAAAAACAATTCCAAATCAGCTCAGCTCAGCCGGCGCCATGTTTGATTCCAGGGAAGCAACTGAAAAAAAGGCTAAAACGTTCAAGAAGCAAAATTTTACCTGCGTGGAAGTAGACGACTGAAACCATCTTCCCCTTGAAGTGGTCTCAAGAAAGTTATCGGAATTCTGACGCTGGTGGTGCACTGAGGAATTAGATCGTGGCATCTGCCTCCCCATCACGCTCATACTCCTCCAAAATTCGATCAATCCCTCCCACTCTCACTCAGTCTGCAAAAGATGCAGAAGTGAGGATTGGTGGATGATTTTTGAATGCTTAATTTCTATTTTCCTCAGGTAACGAACTCTGCTGTTCGGGAAAAGTGGGAAGAAAATGATTTTGAAACTTCAAAAGGCGAACCTTATGTCTCTCCGTCTCCTGGGCAACACACAGAGAGTAGCGGCGCGTGTGCTGGACGTGCAATCAAACAAGAGAGTACAGTGCGTGAGCGGGGTCCAGTAATTTTTCAAAAAACCGAAGCCACGGTCCGCGGATTTCCGCCAATTTGACTGGATCGCGGGGGAGAATTCAAAAAAGCAGCGACGCCCGGTTTCGCCGCGCGTGGACACGCGCATTTATGAAGCAGTCAGGCGTGTTGGGTAGGTGAATTGTCACCAGTAAAGAGCCTCGGGTAGCGTTGACGGTGCTCACGTCGTCGAGTACTGGGCCCCACTCCGGTGCATCGCGGCATTTGATAAATCATTTGATCCAGGCGATTTTTGACCGTTGATTCGGCATACGCAGACGGAATTAGGGAGTTTGAATGTGCATTTTCGTCCCAAAGTGAGATATTTTCTATTTTAATTTGTATGTGTAATTGTTTTACTACATTACTAGGATTTTTTGTGTGGAAATTTGCTTAAGAAAGGATTTATTGCAACTCATTAAATTGGTGCAATTTATGTTTAGTTATGTACGTTGATCTTTAAAGCACTCTCGTAAAAAAAATCTTTGAAACAAAAAGTATTTACCTATAATTCAGAATATTATTTGCATATAACTAAAAATACGTTGTACATACATAATTCCGGTTTTTCTAACTAATGAAATTTTCCAAAAAAAATAATACTTTTAAAAATCTTTCCTTTTTCTTTTCCGCCGTCTGCATCATTACTGAAGGATCTTAACAAAAAGTAATAGTAGAGTTAATGGTAATCATATCCATTGCACCAAACCTAATTAACAAGATTCGACAAGCTATTCAGATCACCGAAAAATTAAATAAAATACTCTATTTTATAATTTGTAAATAATTAATGTAATGTATTAAAGGGTTTAAACTCTGTATAGTTGATAGGTTAAGAATAAATAATTTTTCTGAGAAAAATTGGAGATATTTTTCTTGTTCGTATCCGAATCAATAATCATTCTCGAAATCAAATTTCAAATTTGATACTGGTATGTACGAAAACACAAGACCATCACATGCGCTAGTTAAAAAAAATAATAATAATAATCACATGCGTTTTGGACTGAAACAGAGTTGCTCTGACCAAGCTGGACACATGCACGACTTTGATTCGAAGCTCACATCAGTAACGGAACAAATAAATAAACATTGAAAATTCCGCTTGGAAAATCACTTTCTAATGAAGGATATTAATAATTTAGCAACTTTGCAACTTTGTTTGATCTCTTCAAAATGAACTATTAAAAATTGATTAATTGATTAATCTAAATAGCCCATCTTAAAGTTAATCCAAAACTAAATACATTTAAATTTAAACTAATTATCACTAGTGGTAGTATCACTGTATCACATTGTGCTCCCGAGGTCTCTTGTTCTTTTCATTTCTGATGCAGCCATTTTAATTAAAAATATATATTATTAATTATTAATATAAAATTTAATTAACTAGTTTGGAGAGATTAAAAAATTTAAATAATTTTTTTAAAATATTGTATTTATTTTTTAAACTAATTTGTCTGACTTATAAACTGATATATAATCTAATGATACATATAAGTATTTGAAAAAAATTATGTAATATATGTTATAATTAAGTAATTTTTAGCTTTTTTAATTTTCTCAAATGAGTCAACTGGATCTTATATTAAGAACAGAAAATAATATATATTGAATGTAATTATTTTAGGATTAAGTTTTATCTAGTATTCTAAAGTAATACTTCAAATGCGTTCAACACTTTAAATTGTTTTGTGTTTATTTAGCGCCTTTTGTCTGTTTTTCACTTTTTCTACATATCCAAGACCTTGGGAAAATGTTAATACTTTCAAGACAAAATTGTTAAATCATTTTAAAATGAATATTTGTGACCATTGTGGACATTGAAGACAGAATTAAGCGATGCTATTAAATGTAATACCTGTCCCAGCATTTATTTAAATATCGATTCATCATCTTATAAGGGACTAGTCTCTTCTAGGAAACTACTATTTTAAAATTTGTTTGGAGCCAATATTACTTCCCAACAAAAATGAAAACCATGGGGCATGCTACTCTCGGGTTCAAAATTTTGCTAAGACCTCGCTTTGGGCCACGGGCTTTTACAGAACAGTTGCGGTCCATTACAGCTTTAGACTAGAGTTCGCATGCATGGCGTGATTCTTGGGCCTAAAATGTTACCCACAACGTCAGTGATATATTTTTATTATGACATTTTTTTTAATGAATTAACTGAAACATTATGAATATATGCATTTGGATAGATTATTATGATAGGAATTCACATTTATCCTCTAGTGATGAGACTCTAAAAGAAGTCTATGCAAATGTTATGATTTTGATAGAGAATATGACGGCAAAAAAAATTTATAAAAAGAACACTATGTCTAGTTGTCCTTCCATTTTATTACTTTTTCCATGATGGTTGAATTTAGGGATGCTCATGCTGGGCCTGTTCCCGTTGGCTTGTTCCGGTCCCGCTCCTATTAGAACCGGATGAGCTTGTCCTGAAATTTTTTGGGACAAGACAGGACGCAGAATGGCCCCGTCGCATCCCGAATATATTTATATATAGTTTTATTTTTTTTTCCATTTTATTATATGTATAACATATATATTAATATATCGATATATATAATATAATAAATGCAAACCCTTATTTCTATCCTTTTCCTTTTACTGCACCGCCCAACCAGACTTATCAGTTATCACTCTCTTGTCTCTTGCCATCGCTTGGCACTTGCATAGTCAAATGGGAAATAAAACAATGGAGACAAAAACGCCAAACAGGGAAGCACAGATCTCATCAGTTACTTCCTGCATGCACAAATCAACAAAGAGAGATTGAAGGCAAGAAAAGCAATGCTAGGCATGATAGAAGCTAAAGGTATTTCCCCTCCCTCTCTGTGTTTTGTCATCGCTGCCCTTTCTCTCCTTGATCTCATATTTTTTCTTTCACTCTTCATCTTTTGCTGTTTGGTTTTTTTTTTTTTTCATTTGGATTGTGATTTGTTCTTGGGATTATTGTAATAGAGTTGAAATCTAAAATAATGAATATCTTGAAAAGCGAAAACTCATATGTAGTTCTGTGTGTAGTCTTGCTTGGCTCTGTCTTTTTTTTTTAGGGATGTCTCGGCCGGACAGAACCAAAACAATTTTGAGACGAAACGGGACACGGGACCAAATGCCGTCTCGTGTGTCTTTTGGGACAAGACTCCCATGAGCACCTTTAGTTGAATTTGAGATAAACTATTTTGTGCATCAATATAATTATGTCAAATATGATTATTTTAGGTGAGTCATCTTAAGAGATTATATCATTAAATCCAGAATAGATGTTTAAGGGAAAAACTTACCAACCATGATAACATTCAATGATATTTATAATTATAATAATGAAAATGTATCCTGGTCAAACAAAAAATTACTAATGAAAATGTATGAAGCAATTTGGATTCTTATAAGTGCACAATAAATCATTTTTTTCTATTTTGTCTTATTTTAAATCCCATTGCACAAATATTTCTGGACTCACAAGTAAATGGCTTGTTTCACACACACACACGTGTGTGTAATTTATTTTTGTTCAAAATCCAGGTATTTATCTATTTTAGTTTTTTTTCCAAAATATTTCATGAAGCGAGCCATATAAGAGGGCTAGTTTGGAAGCACTTCTAAATTCTTTTATTTTATTTTTTTAATCACACAAAACAGTCCTCAACTCATGCACTAATGGAAGGAAATGCCCGAGCAAGTGATCTATGACTCGGTATACCCCAACCGAATGACCCATGAAATTTTTTGGGCCCGTTTGCCGGCCCACCTATAAACTGCCCAAAAATAACGTGCTTGTTTATTATACAGGATGGGCGCTACTGGGGACACGCCATGGGCTACATACATACAACCGTTTATGTTATATTTATAAAATCCATTTTTTCCAAAATTATTTATAATGCATCATTCAAAAAAAATGTATGCGTGCACACAACCGTGGGGTCAATCTTATATTACGTTCACCAAAATTGTTGGATTGTACCTATAAGAGTTAGTCAGTGGATACAGAGTTGACTATAACCTACAAGGTTAAGTTCAAATCCTACTATAATATGAGAATCTTGTTATAACGTAATCTATAAAGACCTTATAGGAGCTCTCTGAGTTTAGAGATAATCCTGACTTGGTGAGACTCCTAGCGTGTTTAACTCACCTAACTTGTTGTAGGAAAAAAAAAAAAATTGTGGTGGAGGTAGGATTCATGAATAGTTTGAGTCCAAAAGGGAGTTGACTCTGAAAGTTAGGTAGGAATGTGCGTTACATTTGAAAGCGACACTTGTTAAAAACAAACTGATAATATATGTGTCCTTTCCTTCCTTCCTCAATAAACCCAAATTCATCAACCTGCCTGCAGATTCATTTCATGGTACCTCCCATCTTTCTTCTTCTTCTTCTTCTTGTTTTGCCTCTATACTTTAAGTTGCAAATTTGTTGAATTGGTTTGTGGTTTTAGTGCAGTCTGTGAGAACTTGGATGTTGATGTCATTGGTAAGGCTGATAACTTCTCTGGTTCTTGAACCCTGCCTCCTCCATCTCCACCATACTCTTTTACAGTCGTCTTCTTCCTCAGAACCTCGCTCTTCTCCGAATGGTTCGCCATGAGATGCTTGATCAGGAAAATTACCTCTTCAACTTCATCATCACCTTCATGACTTGTTTTTGTTAATTCTTGTTTTCTAATTATTGACATCCAGTGCCGCATATTATTTTATATACTGTAGTAGATCTTCTAGTTTCTTTTTTCCTGGCGAATTTTATGTTTGTTAATTTCTTTCATAGGAGACTCGCAGTTTCCTGTTTTGTAATCACTACTTGTTCCTCCAAATTCAATTTGTTTGCGCTGAGTAATGGGCGGGACAGTCTAATTTGAGGGATTTAATTTTCGGTTCTGGATCAATAACAAC